GTTAAAATGTTTAAATGAAATCTATTATTTTCTTTGTATACAATTCTTATGGGGAATTGCTTTCTATGTTATTTAAAAATATGCTTTTATCAGAGTTATTGAAAATTCGGTCACAGTTTTACATCGAATTCTAATATTGAGACATTTTTAAATCTCTATTTATTCAATACTTTTTTTTTTTTTTAAATGTGTAATGAATCAATGACTAAACTAGGTAACAAATGAAATAGAAATTTAAAATTTTCCAGAAGGGACAGGAATACATTGTTCCAGTATGCAGATACTTTTAAGTACTCATTCTTAGAAAATAAATAGTACTTTTACAAAAAAAGTTATTAAGTTTAACCATAATAGGTTAGTGTGTTATATGGGCAAATTATTTCTTTTCGCCATAACTTGGAAATTAATGTGGAAAGAAGGAGTAGAAAAAAAAAAGATCTGATTTAAAAAAAATTGTTTTTTGTAACTTATTATAATTTAGAATATCTTTATTATTGATATGAAATTCAAAGTATTCATCTTAATTAGAATAATTTTTTAAAATGAACTTTTCAATGGAGGAACTATGGGAAGACATTTTACTCATTGCAATTATTCTTAGAAACCACAGCAGATTCCAAAACTAATGTAAAAATTGCATTAATTTTACATCATTTAATTACTAATCATAAAGTGGTTTCATTGTAATTTGGAATAATACTTTATATGTGCCTGATTTACATATCATTTTCAGGGCATCATCTTTTTTTGTATGGGAAAGTTCATATTATGGCAACATTACATTAAATTATATAGACTAAGCAAACAAGTTAACTTATGCTCTCATTGGCTACGGTATTTTATTTTTACTTGACATCATTTCAATGACAAAACCAAAGAACTTACAACTATGTCATGCTAGAACCCATTTACATATTTTTTAATAACATTATTGCATTTTTAAATATTAAAAAAAGAACTTTACAGTATCTGACATTTCAATAATTTAATCTGCATTGGCAAGTTATGAAAATATTTTTTCTCAACAATTAGGGGTGACCTTAATTGCCAGATTTCAAAATGTGCTAACTTGATCTGAAAAATTTTTATGATATGTAAACTAAAAATTTCCACTTTAAATCATGGTTTGTCTTTTTTTTTTAAAATTGTAAGGAATATACAGGAACAAATTTTATGACATTCTACAGAAAAATAAAAGTAAATTTATTTTAAAGTTTTATTAAGAAAATAATTTTTCCTTAAATAAAACAAAACCTAGAACCATCAATGTAGGCCTACATATATTTTTATTTTCTAACATGAATCTACGATTCAGCTTTTACTTAGTTAATGTGAATGAAAAAACAAATCAATCCATTAACCACATTATATATGTTTATCATGAAGTCAGAAAGTCTAAAATTTAGTTTATAGAGGATTTTATGTCTCCCTTTAGCTACAATAAATAGTCTATTAAATCAGGAGTAATATTTAATAATAATAGGTCTTATTATAGAGTTAATATGTGGAAAAAAAAATTATTATTTTTTTTTTTGCCTTGAGATTTGTGTTTGTAAAAATAAAATGTTCTTGGCATACATTCCTTAGTACATTTTCTGGAATGATTCAGTAGTAATTGGATGCAATGACTTTGTAATTCAGCACCAAATGTTTTTCTAAAACCAGAATGGGTCAGCTGTTCCAGTTTACAATGTCTTGAATAATCAGCACATGACGTGATTTATTCTGTGCCAAGTGTAAACTTACATTCTGAGTGTTTCAGCACCTGAATGATTCAGTGTTTTGTTGAAATAAATGCTATAGAAGTAAAATGAATACAGAAATGTTTGCTGTATTTTGAAAACTTTTCAAATCAACATTCCTCACTTATGCTGAAAACTGCTATAAACTATATCTTTTGACATATATATATATATTTAGCTCACATGTTTTGAACTAGATTCCTGCTGCAGCTGTGATTTTGGTTAATCCCATTAAAAATTCATTCATGTTGTACTCATGTGATGGTTGTGTAGGAAACATTTAAGACTTGAAACTAAATTAGTGTTGTTGTATTTTATAAAGCCATCGCAAAACTCAAATCTTAGATTGATAATGGGTGTGATATTTAATAGAATCTGCTGGAACAACTTTTTTTAATTGATAGCAAGTGTTGACCAGTCACCAGTACTCTCACTTATTGTGATGGAATTTTATGTGTGTGTTAAAATTGTTATCAGATATATAGAAAACTATCTTGTGTGCAAGGATAAGGTTAGTTTGCTTAGTAAGATTTAATGTTTCTGACTTAACAGTAGTCATTTTTTGATTTATTGAATAATGTCAAGTGACAAGCAATTACTAAGTACCAAAGCTATAGAAAGTGAAAATTCTATAACTTAAAGTATTCTTTTGTTGAAACGAATTTTTTCCTAATTATCATTATGATTAAAAATTATTGCTAATTTGTTTATGGCAAATGTCAATTTGTTTTTATGTACTCAGATTTTAAATTGTTGTTGAGATATTTATTCATTTTGTTTTACCTTGAACTTTCTGAGATTTCAACTTGTATATTTTTAACATTGTACTTGTTCAACAGTTTCAGTATTTTAATATTGATTAAGAAATTATTTCAGTGTAATTTTTTGGTCTCAATGTCACTCAGCCAGTTGGACCATCATTCATCTCAAAATTAAAAACAAACAAACCAGGATTGGAATTTTAAAACTTTTGGTTGAACATCCAAACACTGAACTTATCTGCCACCATGCTTCACATAATAGATATGTTTATGAATATTAAATTATTTAAAAAAAACAACTCTGGGACATTAAAATGAACTCTCAAACATTTTTTAAAAAGATTTTAAACGTTTGTATTGGTTTTAATCTACTTCAGTAAATATCTCTTTGCATCATTCAAAATTCTTCTTAAGTCTGACTCACTATTCATTTAAACCTTGTGCCTTATGTGACAAAGGGAGAAATTGTTGAGTGTTTTTTTTTTTGAGTTAAATATATTAGAGAAAAGATTTTTAAAAAAATTTATTAAATGATTCTTTCTACTTTTAAATGCATGCTAAAATTTTTAATGATTACCATAGCCTATAAATTAATTTACAATGTCTTGTATATTTTACTTGTATTGTTTCCCAAGCTATTTATTTTGAAAAATATTTACAATGATTAATGTTCTCAGTTCCAGTAATAATCATTTAAATTATGTCCTCAATCGGTTTACTAGTCAGTGGTGTGTTATTTAAGTCTTCATAAAACTTTAAAAATCTACATTGTAAAACAAAGCACTGTAAACATTTATAACTCTCTTTTTAAAAGTTGATCAACACTACATAGGTCAGTGCCATTTAAAAGTTGATAAACACAACTTTGGAGGGTTCCATTTAAAAGCTGGTAAACACAACTAAGGAAAGTGCCATTTAGAAGTTGGTAAACACAACTAAGGACAGCACCATCTATCAGTATTTCAGTCAAATGCACCTAGACAATCATGTTTCATGTCAGTTTGACCTTCCTCTTCTTTTGCTCTGACTCTCTTAAAAAGGAAGTTTTATGAAGTTGAAATGACAGTATTCAGACTGATTTGTATGTTGCTTTATGTTATATGCTCTCATAATTATTTTATTTTGTAACATCTACAATGTAATTTATGCCAATTGCAACCTTTTTGTTGATTTTAAATATAAAGACATTTTTAAGGGAAAAAAAATTTTTTTTGTGTTTTATGTCTATAACTGAATTAGCCTGTGTGAATTTTGGTATGCCCCATTGGTATAAAAGTCATAATTGTTAATCGAATTTTTTTACAAAATAGTTGAGTGTCAAGGTTTATTCATTTTAAATTTGTTCATGATTCTTCAGCATTTAGACTGGCCAGTTTATTTCCAGTTGCTCAAGAATTTGGCTGTAACAAAGTATGCATGCAAATTATAGATCTATTCAAGACAATGCATATTTTACAAATGGTCTGATTCATAACTGATCACTCCAATGCATATTCTATAAAGGAGGGGTGGTCTGATCACTCCAATGCATATTCTATAAACTAGGGGTGGTCTGATCACTCCAATGCATGCTCTTGTCTTTTTCTAATTTATAAATTAGGTATTCATTGTTATATACAAAGTTAGTCTTCTTTGATTATTATTTATTAGTGCTAAATAAGATTAAGATGGCAGCCTGGTCATGTAGTAAGTGCTCAGGACTTTCGTTCGGTGGTCTCAATATGGTCCTGGGCTCAAACCCTACCCGCTACCATCTCCCGTTGTCCTGCAGGTGATTTAGGCTTAAGTGTGTAATTATTTTCAAATCTAAAGAAAAATTATACATATCACTCAGAATAAGAAAAGTTGAAGGTGTTTCTTAAAGTTTGTCTTAGTCATCTGTTGTATAAAGTAAGAGATTTTTAAAATTACTTTTTCCCCTCTGCTAAAAAAATGTATATATACACACTGGATTCAACAGTGCAAATGTTCTTTAGTAAGTCTTTAAAAAAAAACAAACAAAAAAAACTTAATTTCACTGTCATATATGACATAACATCAGAAAAAACAACAACCTATGCTTCTCGGTTCTTACTACATCTAAATATTAAACATTTTTTTTAAAACAAGTTTCCATCCCCAGTCTTCTTTAGATTAACCGACTTGTGATGATGACTACTATGAGAATTTCACATTAGCAAATGTGTTTCAATAAATTATTGTACATTCATTTTGCTTAAATCTATAGGACTACTAAAATTACAGACTACCATAGAATATTCAAAGCTCTTGTCAAATATTTGGTGGTAAAATTTTCAACCTTTTATGATTATGTGATCAGTACAAACAATTCATAAATCTTAATGCACACTAACTACTTATAAAATACAATAACTAGATTTAGAACTGCTCTTTCAAACATAAAGAGGGTTGTTTACAATAAAAAATTCTGTATATATGTATTTTTACTGTTCATCAATGTAAATTATAAATATTTAGAAACTACAAAAATATCAGAATAAAGTGTTTATTATACTTTATTTTTATCTCATACTTTAAAATAAGCAACAATAAAATACAACAAGCTTGACATACAACAAAATATAACAAATTGAGATAACAAGTCATAAAAAATTATCATTCTCCAATTCAATTAATCAAGCCATAGTTGATCACATCTATGTAAGCTTCTATCAAAAGAATTGTTGCCATAAAAAAAAAAAACTTTAGCAAAGGAACATGAAATAAACTACACATTGGTGGCTAGATAAACAAAAATATGTTAATGTGACATTTAATAAAACTGACATTGTAATGTTACTATGGATTAAACTGACAACTGTAATGTTACTATGGATTAAACTGACAATTGTAATGCTACTATGGATGAAACTGTCAAGTGAAATGTTAATGATGTGTAAAGAATATGTAACTGCTGACTTATATACTACAGGTTTTTCCAATACAAGGTTCCAAACCTGACCCCAAATGCTTGACAAATAAAGAAAAAATCTTGATGCCCAATACTTTTTTTTAAAGCATTAAAAAGTTTTGGAAACATTACACATTAATTATCTTCTGATTACAGATGTTCCTTCAAAAGATAAGATAATTGCATTCATGTGTTGGTCTAATCCTTCACGTTAATTATTCTGCTAAGTCTCTGGTTTTCCTGGTTGATTCTGACAACCAGTTCTATGCTCTAATGGCATTAGGAAAGAAGGAGCAATCTTAGATTTGTAAAATAAATTTTATGATGAAGTTACAATTTGCAAAATTAATCCATAGGTTTTGTATAAAATAAAGGTAGGTGAAATACCTGTTGTTTTTTAAGTCAACAAGGCAGAAGTATACATTAACCCAATAATTATAAATAAACTTACTGTCATAGAAACTTCCATATCAGAACAAAATTGTACAAGATCAACATTAAATAGAGAGATGAAAATGCAGACTAGTTTTCAATTTAAGTCACATCCACCAATTAGTGGACATAACAGTTTAGGCCATGCAAACTCAATAATCTTTAACATTGAATTAGTACATCACAATTTACTAGTGACTGACTGAAATATTTAGATCATGATAGTTTTCAACTGTTTCTTACTAGTCCACTAAGATATAATGGAAAAAGAAAATGTTTAAAAAAAAAATAGCTGTATTTAAAATTGTATTGATATACTCTACATTAAATGTGACTATGACAATTAGAAGTCAAAATTTTAGTGATTATTAAATGAAAATTAAATGAAAAAAATTACAGCTTCTTACAAAGTTTTTTTTTTGGTTAAATTGTTTTGTTTTGATTCCAATCTTGCCAAACACAGTGCAGATACATTTTGGCTATTATGTAATCTGTTTTAATACCACTAAAAATAACATAAACAAAGAAAACAATTATGATAAAATTAACAAACACAAATAATTCATTAAAAAATGCTCATTTTTTCTCTTTGTTAAGGTTAATGGACCAAATGAAAAAATATGGTAGTCTGATTTTCAGTGATGGATCTCATTTTAGAACATTATCAATAAAACTGATTGTGATTAAAAAGTAGGAGTTGATGATTTTGTTCAACATTGTCACATTTGTATATGTCAGGGTTCACTCAAACTTCAAGGGCCAGAGTTATAACACTTTCAAAAACCTACTTGCGCCAAAATATATGCAAACATATCTCTACAGTTTGGTCTTTTTTTTAGACTATAATAATGTTATTATTTACACATCTATCTTTCTCTGACACATCTAGGAGTGCATCTCTTTTTTAGTATATAATATATACATTTATATCCATGACATCCTGACATATTTTCAGCTAAATAACAAAGATTCATTAAAATTAAAACTTTTTTTCTAATTCCTTTTAACTGTAAAATATGTCATTGTATGTTCAGATGCTTATGATAAAAATAATAATTTATTGTTGGCCTACTGAAGGGTTAGAACATCATGAATCTGTTCATTCCCATCTCCTCTAATAAAAATAATCACAGGAGTGGATCCCAGCACACATCAAAATAAAAGGCAATGAAAAAACGAAATATTGGCGATTTCAGATTTGTGTCATTGCTGAGAAATGTAACAAGAGCAGGACAAAATTAACTAAATGTAGGCATAGAGGCTACATGATTAAGACATAGAAGCTACATGATTAAGACAGAGGCTACATGATTAAGACATAGAAGCTAAATGATTTAGACAGAGGTAAATAATTAAAACACAGAGGCTAAATGATTAAAACATTGGGACTAGATATTTTGTTGCGAGGGAAAGGGGTAGACCATAATGTGATGCAATCAAGCAGATACCACAGAGATGATTAAAATTGGAGCAAGGCATAGCATAGTTGAAATGTTCATTGAAGAAGGCAAGTTTTCAGCTTTATTAAGTGAGATAATTGAACCAATATTTTAAAAAAATATCAGGAATCAATCTTTAAATAACAAGCTATGACTTAAACGGATAACACATTTTTTAAAAATATATTTTCATATTAATCCTTTTTTCTCAAAACAGTCAATGATCACATTTTTTTAAAATATCTGGGCCTTCTATGAACCCTAAATAATGTATTTGAAATAAAACTTTATTGTTCTAGCAATCTTCTGATGTGGAGTAGATTTTCCTGAGCTCTAGTACAATAGCCTTTAAATATGGATTTCCTCCCAAAGACTCAATATTTTGCAGCAATCTGCAGATTAAAAAATAACTTTTTAAGAATAAAACATGAAAATAATATCTAACCTTTTAATATAAACAGAATGTCAAAATTAATACATCCAGTTAAGTTAATAAATACATTATGCTTTTGTGAGGTGGGGAAGGGGTATTTAGGAGTTATCTGGGGGGGGGGGGGGGGGGTCAGTTATACCTTCAGGCACTCAGCATACACAGTTCTGCTTAAGTCAAGATTCTAGCTTAAACCCCCTTGATAGGTAGAAAAGCAGCTTATGACACTCAGCCACACATCTCATGGCTGACATTGTTCAAGTAAAGGTATCAAGTAAGAGGGTAAATGTTGACATTGTTCAAGTAAAGGTATCAAGTAAATGTTGCCATTGTTTAAGTAAAGGTATCAAGTAAATGGTTCAAGTAAAGGTATCAAGTAAATATTGCCATTGTTCAAGTAAAGTTATCAAGTAAATATTGACATTGTTCAAGTAAAGGTATCAAGTACGGGGGTAAATGTTGACATTGTTCAAGTAAAGGTAACAAGTAAATATTCTTTGTGGACTTTGAGAAATATAATATCAAAAGAACTATTCATTTAAAAATAACATTAAAACAGTTGAATACTCAGATTCCAGTTCTGCAAGGACTTTTCTTGTATAATCAAAACTTCCCACTTTTTCCAAGTATTGCACACAATATTTTTTCACATCATTGTCTGTTGTTCTTTGTCTCAGGATACCTTGTTCATGAGTGAAGGACAACAAAATGAAAATATTGAAGATACCAGCTCTAAAAAGTTATAAAAATTACCAGCAATTATGTATTATTTTTAAAAACATTTGCAAAAAGAAAATTAATACAATTATAAAATTGAATTGGTAATTTAACCAAAGCCAATCCAAGATGCTTTGGAAGCATAATTTTTAAAAAAAAGCTGACATGTCATAAGAAATATATTTTACATCTAATTTGTTCCAGAAGAAAAGACATTCCTGAAGAAAAAAAAAAGAAAGATAATCAAAAGAAACAATAAACATAAGGAAATGGATGGGCCTAAAAAAATGTGAAAATCAGAGAATGGAGGTAGACATATAGGTATGCCCCAAAGGTCCAAGAGACTAAGGGAAAACTGACAGACTGAGTAGAAATAAAAATATTTAAACAATCTGAATTTATGAGATTTAATGTATTATAAGAATAAATAGGCAGCAGTAAAACTTTAAAATAGGAGAAAAGTCCTTTTTAAAATTCAGGTTGATTGAATGGAATTAGATTAGTGTGTTAGGCTTCATATGCTGCTTGTAAAAGATCAAATATCTCCCATTTATAATGGTATGAAAAACTCTGTAAAATAAATCAGATTCAAACAAAAGTTTTTTTTAAACTACCTTTTCTTTTCCAAATTTTCCTTTTTGCAACATCTAATGCTTAATTTAGATCCTGAAAAAGGAATAATACAACTAAAATCTATACATATATGAAAAGGATACTGAGGACTTGATTGTCATTTGGGTTACTTCTGATAGCATGAATCAGTGGAAATGAAAATTTTCCTTCTGTGATGTCTTCACAATAACTCTTGTTAGCTTCATACTTGTTAAGAAAACAATTTTATTAATTATATATCCAAAAACAATAAGCATCATCAATAATGTAGTATTCAATATTTCTGAGGCCTTAAATATTTATTCTCTACTAAGAACACAATTTATCTTTATTTTAACCATCTCAGGTGATCTGTCAACCAGATTTTGTGAGACTCAAGACTTTCAAACTCAGGCCATGTTCTCTACCATTCAACATAAACATTGGTTAGAAACTTTCAAAAATGTTATTTCAAAATGTGATATCTAAGATCTTATCTTATCTTCTTATATAATACAGACGTTACTTCAAAAAAGAAGACGATTATGTCCTACGCGTCATGCATTTAGTCATGTATATTAACCAATGACTTAACTTCTGCCAAGTCACTGGTTTTCCTGGCTAGCTCAGGCAACCCATTCCATGCTCTAATAGCACTAGGGAAGAAGGAGTATTTGTACAAATTTGTCCTAGCATATGGGACGAGGAATGTGCCTTTATCTTTGTGTCTTTCAGAGTATTTTATTAAATTTTGTTTTTGTATTTGAAGATTATGGTTCAGTGTTTTATGTATAATTGCTACTTTACTTTTGAGTCTTCTGTCCTGAAGGCTTTCTAAATTTAGTGATTTTACTATAGGTGTTACTCTAGTCAAATGTGAATATTCATTTGTTATGAATCTCACTGCTCTATTTTGTGTCTGTTCCAGTTTCTTAATGTTTTCTTGAGTTGAGGGGTCCCAAACGGAGAATGCATATTCTATTATTGGCCTAACCAAGGTTAAATAACATTTTAGTTTTATGTTCTTATTTGATTTATAGAAATTTCTTTTAATAAATCCTAATGCTTTGTTTGATTTTTTTTATAGTTTCATCAATATGTGGATTCCATGACAGTTTTTCATTTATTATAACACCTAGGTATTTTGCGTTTTTAGTCTGTGTTACTGGTTTGCCATGAATAAGATAAGTGGAATTAATTTGTTTTAGTTTTTTTGTTACTCTTAACAACTGACATTTTTCTGGGTGGAATAACATGCTCCAATTTGATTCCCATTTCTGTAATTCATCTAAT